AGAGTCTTCTCCCTGATAATCTTAGAGAATTCCGAAGCAGCCCCAACCGAAAAACTCTGAACCTTGAACTCATACGTTGTATCCGGTTGAAGATACGAGATAGTAATATTCGTCGAATTTTTCCCTTCGACAGTCGTCTTAATGTAATCCCCGGCAGTTGTTGAGGCCCTATGATTCACATAAAACCCATCGATATCGACTGATCTATCCGGATTCTGCCATATGAGGAGAACCCTGTCAGGTCCCAGGGCCTCAGTATTCGTCAGCAACGGAATGGGCATTTTGTTAGACTCAAAACCCTCGCCTTTGGTCAAATGAAATTTCACAGAGTTGGGACTCAATTTGTTATCATTATTCGAATACACCGCAGCTATTCTAAATCGATAAAAACTGTTGGGCTGAAGATCATTCACCTCGAATGATCTCACATGATTCGGAATTTCCATATTGGCTGTCATCCACTTGGACTGTTTTCCACTGGACTTAGATCCAAACTCCTTGTACTGAACCTTGAAGAACAGAATAGGCAGCCCTGTGTTCTCCGGAACAGACCAACGAACCATCACCGAGAAATCCGAGAGTCGTGTGACGTTGGGCTGATGAGGAGGGACCATAACCGTTCCCCTTCGATGTCCCTCCTTGCTTTTCCTCTTGCCACCCATTCTTATGTGTTTGTAAAGACCTCCAGGCACTCCATGTCCCTCCTGTTTTGAGTGATCTCCACTGCCTCCAGGATGTTGTTTAGGATTGACACGAAGAAAATTGTAGCCAGAGTGTGATCCATACTCGTTACTGGCGACACATTGTACAATTCCCGCGTGTTTCTTCTCGACTGACGACACAAACAATCTCGATCCTTTGCTCTCGACATTGGGACTTCTCTGGAGGGGTTCACCGTTGATCAACCACTCGATCGTTGGTTCTGGGTGGCCCGTTGCCTCGCAGAATAATTCCAATTCACCACCCTCAGCAAATGTCGAAGCTTTAGGGACTTTAGTGACTCTCGGTGGTGCCACAACCTTCAGGATAATAACAGACTCAATTTTGTTACCACCTGATGTCCACATGCAGTGGTACTCCCCCTGATCCTGGGGAAGAACATTCGTCAGCATTAATCCTGATGATGTGTATTGAGAGCCCGAGGGTAGACTCCCCACCAGTCTCGACCAGGTGACCTTTGGAATTGGTCTTGCTGCACCGAAGCACTCCAGGGTGACGTTTCTACCTCGGAGTACTTTGTACTCAGTCTGAGGTTGTTTGACAAAAAATGGAGAAATTGCTCTCTCGTCTTTTTGAATTATCAATTTTGTCTCGTGATTACTCCGCACTGTTTGTGTAGCGATGTCGTTGTACGCTACACAGTGATAACTCCCAGAGTCCATGGGTTGAGCATTTTCCAGGACTAGCGTTTTTCCACCAGCTAGATTTCTGGATTTAATGAGAACGCTGTCTTTGTAGAATTGAACTATTGGATCTGGTGATGAGAAGGGAACGGGACATGTTATAGGGACTGTATTGCCTGCTGGGACAATTATTTCTACGTTTGATTTGTCGGTGAATTCGTCGATCTTAGCTAGGCTCAGGCGACCTGGATCCGAGGCTAGACCACTTGTACCTGAAATAAATCGATTGAGGTCAGACAGTGATGGCAATTGGAGGAATTCGTTTACCCACCGTAATACGCGATGCATCTGTAGTCACCGGATTTCGAGGGATCGTTGAAGTCGATGACGAGTTTGGATGTTTTCTTGACACCTGGGGTGGAGTTTGTCAGGGCAAACCACTGGTTTGAGTTCAGGGGACGATGACGCCATGTGAATTTGTCCGCAGCCAGACCCAGGCTGCACTCAAAATCCACAACGTCACCCAGGGGTGCTGCCAAGGGCTGCGGATGACGAGTGAATTGCATTCCAAGCTCTTGACGAGAACCTGCATCGATGATCATCATTATTATTAATATTGCGAGGGGATGATTCAGGAGTTTCTGTTCTGCGTTCGTCGAGAAA